CTTCTCCTCCATTCTCTAGGGATCTTATGCACACACGCACACATGCCTGGTGTGAGTTTAAGCCACCGGGTCCAGGACTCGAACCGTGGTCGACTACATGGGAGTCCAGTGACATAGCCACTACGCCATCTGTTTGTCCCTTAAGTGCTTTTTAACAGAGAGATGAGCAGGCCTTAGAGATGGATTAGATGTGGGAGGCGGCCTGCAGCTCTGGTCATGATGGAGTTGTTTGTAGCAGACTTCATCCTTCTGCCAATCAGCAGCATCCACACTGGACAAATACACAGTTTTTTTTATTTATTTATTTTACCTTTTATTTTACTTTTTTTTTTCTTTTTTTGAGAGGTTTATGCTATAGGGTGCGTGCGCTCGCCAGACAGACAGAGAGAGAACGAGGGACAGAAAGCGAGAAATCACCCCCCAGGGAGGATGGCCACACCGCAATCCCTTCTCCTCCATTCTCCTCTCGGGATCTTAGACATGCACACACACGCGCCTGGCGTGAGTTTAAGCCGCTGGGTCCGGGACTCGAACCATAGTCGACTACGTGGGAGTCCAGCAACGTAGCCATTATGCTAACTGCTGGTCCCATTACACAGTTATTTGAAGTCACTGAAGAGTAGCAAATGACAAGAGGAGTTTAAGATGCTGCGATCTCTGTAGAAGCATAGACGTTAAGTTCCACAGACAAGCTGGCTTTTTCTCTGAGTGCACGTTCCAACTGGCTGCTGTGGTGGAGAAATAGAGCCCAACCAGGAAGAGCGAGTTGCTAGACTGAGAAGACAGGCTGGAGTTCAGGGCTGCCAGAGCGTCTGGAGGATGAGCGGTGAAATCGGGAATGGGTGGGACCGCAAAAAAGGGAGTCCCCAGTCTGCAAGCGAATTTCCATCAAGTCATTGGCAAGCTGTGTACGCACAGGGGGAGACTTCAAGGAACAGCAGAAAATAGTGACTGGAAGGCTGCAGAGCCGGGATGGCTTTGCAGCAGGGATGCGATGCTGGGGAGACAGGATGCCAAACTAGGAAGGCCCAGATAACTACCCCAGGCTTTCTGACTCCACACCCTAGACGTAAGAGCAAAACTGAAATAGACCAGTCCCCAAAAAAGCCAAAGTCCAATCTTTGAAAGGAAGTAAAACGAATCCTCTCTGGAAGAAAATAACATCATTTAGAGCCTTCACAAATTTTCATCTCCAAGGACTGGCATCTAATCAAAACTTAGAAAGTATCCTGAAGAAAATGTTTTAAAAGGATCAGTTGACCAGAAACCAAGAGGAAAAAAAAAAAATCCAAAAATAGAAAAAGAATCATGGTGATTCAGACACTGAGTTATTTAAGACAGGGAACTTTAAAATAGCTATGATCAATATAGTCGAGAAAATGGAGAAAAAGATAAGTTTTACTTTAATTTTATGATAGCACATGCACACACACACGAGAGAGAGGGACCCCTCAACAAGGAGAAAATCTCAACAAGGTCTTGTTAAGCCGCGATCTCCTTGCCCCAACCTCGTAGCTTTTCAGGATCCTGGACACCTGCATGCATAATTGGTGTGTTTTCAGGTTGACCCAGGGATCCAAGTCCGTGGTTGCTACATGGCTTCCAGCCTTGTGGACTCTTGTTACCACTGCATCACGGTGGCTGGGCTAGAAAAGGTCATCTGCATCTGAAAGCCAGTTTTTTTTTGTTTGGTTGGTTGGTTTTTTTTGAGAGGTTTTTGGCTATAGGGCGCATGCGCTCGCCAAACAGACAGAGACAGACAGAGAGACGGTAAGTGAGAAATCACCTCCCAGGGGGGATGGTCACGCCGCAATCTCTTCTCCTCTATTCTCCTCTCGGGATCTTGGGCACGCACACACACGCGCCCGGCGTGGGTTTTAAGCCACCGGGTCCGGGACGCGAACCACGGTCGACTACGTGGGAGTCCAGCAACATAGCCATTACGCTAACTGCTGGTTCCCTGGAAGCCAGTTTTAAAAAGAGTGAAATAGAGGGGCCAATAAGTGGTGTAGTGGTTAAAGTGCTGGATTCCCACATGGCCGACTGTGGTCTCAGCCCCAGATTTGGTGGCTTGAAACTCACTCTGAGCACGTGTATGTGTGTGTGTGTGTGTGTGTGTGTGTGTCCAAAATCTCAACAGGAGAATGGAAGAGGAGGGATTGCATTGTGGCCATCCCCCTAGGGGATGACTTCTTGCTTTCCCTCTCAGTCTCTCCAGTGAGCACATGCACCCTATAGCAAAAACCTTAAAAGAAAGAAGAACTCAATAGATGTGCTTATTAAGATTAGAAATAGCAAAACATGGGCTGGCCCTGTGGCTTGGTGGTTAAGGGAGCCGGATTCCATATAGCCAAATTCTGGTCCTGTCCAGTGTGTGTGTGTGTGTGTGTGTGCGTGCATGCCTCAAATCCTGACAAGATGAGAAAATGGAGAGGGATGGTGGTGTGACAATACCCCACTGGAGGGTGCTTTCTCTCTATATCTCTCTCTGTCTCTGTCTCTCTCTCTCCAGCGAGTGCACACATTAGCAAACGAACAAAACAGCAGAGCGGAAGGATTAAAGAGCTAGGTGACAGGACAGTAGAAGCACTTCGATTGATGGGCAGCTGTGGAGGATCAAGGGTCTGCCAGGTTTCTGCCCTGGGGCACTGGTGGAGCTGTCTCCGTTGTGAAATTTAGGAGAAGGAGCAGGGGGTTTCCTTTGGGGCAAGTGTTTGAGGGACAGCCGGAGGGCACCTCGAGGGCTTGCATGTACAAGGTGGATCTCAGAGAGAAGGTGGGACTGAAGAGAGCTGTGTGAGTGGCAAGCAGACAGAGGAGGGGGAAGCCGCGCCAATAGATAACATCCCACGGGAGCGATTCTATACCGTCAAATGAAATGGGTCCAAGACAGAGCCCCGAAGACACCTTGCACTTAGAAGAGTGACATGAGACGAGCTCACAGAGCACACCGATGAGTGGTGTGAAGCAGCTCTTTTGGCCTTTAGTTATTTTTCTTTGAGGAGGGTGATTTGGCTTTGGATATAAATGATTCACCTGATTCCAGCTACTGGCCTGCCAGCTGAGAGAGAGCCTTGGCTGACATAGGCCTGTCCTTTCCTTAAGACTTGGCCCGGGCTCAGCTAGACATCGCAGGGTCAGGAAGGGGAAGGGCATGCCAGCCATAGGAAGTGGTACGAGCCAAGGTCTGGGCAGAGGGAAGACTCTGGTGTTTCTAGGGAACCCTGATCCAGCTGGCCTGGACTGGAAGGTTCATGCAGAAGGAAGACCAATCAGGGGAGGCTTTGACCCCTGAAACAATTAGTGAGTGTATTCTTTTTTTTTTTTTTCCCAGAGGTTTTTGCTATAGGGCAAGTGCGCTCGCCAGACAGACAGAGACCGACAGAGAGACAGAAAGCGAGAAATCACCCCCCGGGGGGATGGCCATGCCGCAATCCCTTCTCTCCATTCTCCTCTTGGGATCTTGGGCACGCACGCACATGCGCCCGGCGTGAGTTTTAAGCCACCGGGTCCGGGACGCGAACCACGGTCGACTACATGGGAGTCCAGCAACATAGCCATTACGCTAACAGATGGTGTATTCTTGATAGTTATCTATCGCTGCGTTACAGATTGCCCCCAAATGTGTATTCTTGATAGTTCTCTATCGCTGCGTTACAGATTGCCCCCAAATGTGAAACACAAAATAACCATGTAGTATTTCACCAAGTTTCTGAAGGTTAAGAATCCTGGGGTGTCCTGGGTAGGTGGTTCTGGCTCAGGATCTTTCATGAGATGGAGGTCGAGAGATCGCCTGGGGCTAGTCATTGGAAGAGTCCTAAGGTACCTTTACTCACATGGATGACCCCTCTCATGGCTTTGGCGAAGGCCATATGGACCTCTCCGCAATGCTGCTTGAGTATCCTTACACCATGGCATCTGGCTTTGGCCAGAACAAGTGATCCAAGAGAGAGCCAGGCAGAAATTGCCATGTCTTTTGTGATCTAGCCACAGGAGGCACACACAGTTGTTTCCACCGTGTCCAATTGGTTACATGAGTCACCCCTACTTTCCTTGGGAAGGGACGACACAAAGATGTGAATACCAGGACGCAGGGATCATTAAGGGTCTTCTTGGAAATTGGCTACTACAGAGAACAGCAGAATTTTTTTTAATAATTATTTATTTTATTTATTTATGTATTCATTCATTTATTTCTTAATTTGACCAGAGAGAGACAGAGGGTGAGAGTGAGAGAGAGAGGAAGTGAGAAAGCAAGCCACCAGATTCAGGACTCGAACCCTGGTCGGCCATGTGGGAGTGTCCAGCGCCTTAACCACCACGCCACCTGCTGGTCCCCGAGCAGAAATTTTTTGAGTAATTGTTCATTCATTCATCTAACAAATATTTATTGAGTGTCTTCTCTGATCCTGGCCCTGTGCTGGGTAGTGTTGGGACACAGTAGAGATGAAGACAGCCTGCACCCTACCCTCCTGGGGCTCATAGTCCTGTGGGGGTGACAGGTCTGTCACAACAGTGCCAACCCAGAGTGGACAGGGCTGGCATGGGTCTGTCCAGGGGACGATGGGAGCTCAGAGGGAGGGAAGGCTTCCTAGAAGGGAAAACTTCCTAGAAGAGGTGAAATTGGAGATGACACCAATAAAATATTTTATTGTATTCTGAGGACAATAGAGATCCATGGGAGAGCAGAGGAGAGACAGGGTCGGATATGAGTATTGGGAACATCCTTCTAGGGCCATGTGGGGTTGGATAGTAGGATGATCAGAGTGGAAACCGAAAGGCCAGAAAGGGAAGCCAGTGTTGAAGGAAGTCTAAGTTGGACCAGGCCATAGGACTGGAAAGGAGAGGATCGATTCTAAAAAGATTCATGAGGCAGGTGGAAGAGCTTGACGATTGGCTGAAGAGTAGGAGAAGGGAAATCGACACAGGTGAGTCTTCAAGGAGCTGGAGAGCACCAAGACTCCCTGGAAGTTTCACCCTCCTATTCCTCTTCCAAACAGGCCGGGCTCCTGTCTTTCCTCCAAGCCATTATCTTGAATGTATTTCCTGCGCCTCATCAGACATGAGCTGTGAGAGGGGCCGGGACCAGAGCCTACAATGCCACAGTCCCGGAGAACAGTGCCTGGAGGTAGTGACCCACCGGAGCCGGGAAGGTAAGCCCACCCTGCCAGCTATTCCTCCTCCCTGCTTTGCCCCTCCCAAGGTTGCACTTAACAATGATCTCAAAATAATAGGGATTTGCAGATGCCTTCTTTCTTACATATCACTTCCGTTCTCAAGCCTGCCTCATAGTCCAAGATAGCTGCCAGGGTGCCAGGCCTCATGTCCAAATTCAGGAAGGAAGAGTAGGAAAAGACAGGACAAGAAAGGGGTGGGTACCCCCTCCTTCTGGAAGTCTCATAAATCACTTCTACTTATATCACATTGTCCAGAATTTCAGCACGTAGCTATTCCTACAAAGGCTGGGGAGTGTAGTTTATTTTGCTTGTCCTGAATACAATGGGGGTCCCCATGATGGAAGGTGAGACAGAAAGTGGACAAATGCTTGCTGCATGGGCAAATCCAATCTCAGCCCCTCACCCACAACCTGACCTTTGTCCTCTCTCTCTCTGTGGCCCCCCACCCATCCAGGGAGTCTCCAGGATGAGACCCACTCGCGAGGCTGTGGCTACCTTCCTGGCTGCCCAGGCCCCACAGGCTTCCACAACAACCACACTTTCCATTTCCTGCAGTGCTGCAACACCAGCAGATGCAACGGGGGCCCAGGTAAGGGCTGGGATCGGGGCAGGGAGTGCTGACGCTGGACTCTCCCTCCCCAGCAAACCACTCCTCTTTAGGCATATCAAACTTTCCTCCAAAACAGGATTTTGTGGGAATTCAGTGAGAACATCAACCCCTGTAATTGCACCTCCTGTGTCTCCCTCAAATCCTTCTACTGCTTGCCACCTCCAGTGTCACCTCCTGGGCCACATCACTAGGACTTCTTTCCTATATGAGGGCCATGATCTCTCCTGGTTCCCACTCTGGCCAGCCCTACAGCCATGACTCAATATAGCAGCACACATTCTTTTTATGTACTTATTTTTTAATTGTCAGAGAGCATTTACACTTGTCAGAGATGGAGAAACGGGGGGGGGGGGCAGAGAAAACATCCCCCAGTGTGGCATTGTCACACCGCTATTCCTTCTCCATTTCTCCATCCTGTCAGGACTTGGACACACACGCATACACTCGAGGGACTGTTTTCAAGCCACCAGGGTCAGGATTCGAACTGCACGTAGCTGTGTGGGATCTAGCTCCCTCAACTACGAAGCTACAGGCTTACTCACAAGTGATTAAAAATTTTTAAAAAGATTCAGATCATGCCATTCTCCTTCCTAAAGCTTTTTTTTTTTTTTTTCTAAGAGGTTTTTGTCATAGGCCATGTGTGCTTGCCAGAGAAACAGAGACAGTGAGAGGGAAAGTGAGAAACCACTTCCCAGGGGGATGGTCACACTGCAGTCCCCTCTTCTCTATTCTCCACCTGGGATCTTGGGTGCGCATGCACACACCCAGCGAGATTTTCAAGCCCCAGGGTCTGCAACTCAACTGCAGTCAGCCGTGTGGGAGTCCAGCAAGGTAACCATTATGCCATCTGCTGGCCCCTCCTCAAGCTGTTCAACGATTTCTCCTTCCTCTTAGAATGAAATCCGAAGGCCTTTCTATGGCCTGCATAATTTGGCACCTGTCTGCCCCCTAGTCTTTTTTTTTTTTAAAGGAACAATTTATTTATTATTATTATTGTTAATACTATTTTTCACATGAGTTTTGCCAGAGAAAGACAGAGAGAGAGAGAGAGAGAGAAAGGGAGAGTGAGAAAGCAAGCCACCAGGTCCAGGACTTGAACTGTGGTCAGCCATGTGGGAGTGTCCAGCACCTTAACCACCATGCCACCTGCTGGTCCCACTAAATGTTTTCTAATTGCCAGAAGGCACATGCACTCACCAGAGAGCAAGGGAGAGAGAGAGAGAGAGAGAGAGAACGCATATCCCCCGCCCCCTCCCATGGGGCATGGTCATACCCCAGTCCCTTCTCCTCCAGTTCTCCACCCTGTTGGGATTTAGGGCGCCCAAGCACATATTCTCAGCGTGTTTTTCAGGACACCAGGGCCAGTATTTAAACCACGATCGGTCATGTGAGAAGCAGTTCCCTTAACCACTATGCTACAGGACCAGCCTTCCCTAAATGTCAAGGTCTGTGAGGGCAAGAACTGCTCCATCTTGCACAGTTGCTTACGCAGTGCCCAGCACAGAGCCTGGCCAGATGCGAGGCTGGAGGGGGAGTTGAGAGTTGGGGTTTCTCTCAGAAGCAGTAGAGAACCTCCCCAAAAGAAAGTGCTATTCAAATGCCTGACCACAAGGTGGCTCCATGCCATCTCTGACTGAGTTGGGAGTCCTGGACAGTTCCAAGGCGGGACTCAGGAGCTAATTTCCTTGGTCTCTGTCTCTTGCCCTCTCCTAAGTCCTGGAGCTTGAAAACCTTCCACTGAATGGCTTCCAGTGTTACAGCTGTGAGGGGAACAGCACCCACGGATGTTCCGCAGAAGAGACTTCCCTCATAGAATGCCGTGGCCCCATGAACCAATGTCTGGAAGCCATGGGCACGAATGGTGAGAACCATGGGAGGCTGGGAGGGACACCTGCTGGGTACTGGGTTCTGCCTGGGGTTGACCCCTGGGTAACCGAACTTACCCAGGGTCGATCTCCATGTGTGTGTGTGGGGGGGGGGGCGGTGCAAACTGAAGTAAGAAATTAGGATTTGTGGGACCAGCAGTTAGTGTTATGGCTACATCGCTGGACTCCCATGTAGTTGACTGCGGTTCGAGTCCCGGACCCGGTGGCTTAAAAATCACACCAGGCGCGTGTGCGTGTGTGCCCAAGATCCCGAGAGGAGAATGGAGGAAAAGGGATTGCGGCGTGGCCATCCCCCCTGGGGGATGATTTCTTGCTTTCTGTCTCTCTGTCTCTCTGTCTGTCTGGCGAGTGCACATGCCCTATAGCAAAAACCTCTCCAAAAAAAAAAAAAAAAAGAGAAATTAGGATTTGTCATTAGGGAAAGGACAACTCTGCCATAGAAATGTCCAGTTCTTTATTTTTAAAGGTTTATTTATTTATTTCTTCCATGAGAGAAAGAGGCACCCCAATAGCGTCTTTACCCCATAATCTACCCCTAGGCTCAGCCAGTCAGGTTCACTAAGAAGGTCTTATTATTGTAGTTATCAAACTTTTTGGTCTCCAGGCCTCTTCATAGACTTCAAAATTGTTTGTATCAGTTATTTCTACAGAAATGTACTGCATTAGAAAATAAAACAGAAAAAAATTAAAGGTTTATTTATTAATTCCCCTAATTAATTAATTAAATTTGCCAAAGAGGGTGTGCACTCACCAGAGACAGAGAGCGGAAGAGGGAGAAGGCACCCTGCAATGGAATGTAGTCACTTTGCAATCCCTTCTCCAACTTTCCATCCTGTCATGATTTGGGGCATGTCTGAGCATATTCCCAGCATGCTTTTCAAGCCCCCAGGGCTTGTGGTCAGCCATGTGAGATCCAGCTCCCTTAACCACTAAGCCACAGAGCTAGCACCTGTTCAGTTCACTTTAAAAATAACAATAAGAACTCACGACATATTAACAAAATGAAAACCAGTTACATTTTCCAAAATGAGAAGATGCTATGGGAAGACTGGCATCGTTTTACTGTGGTTCGGACTTCTTGAATGTCTGGCTTAATAGAAGATGGGGCCAGCATGTGGCAAGGAGGTTAAGGTGCTGGATTCCCACATGGCTGATGAGGATTCAAGCCCTGGACCTAGTGACTTGCTTTCTTACTTTCTCTCTCTCTCTCTGTCTCTATCTGGGGAGTGCACATGCCCTATAACAAACTTTAAAAAGTAATCATCATAAATAAAATTAAATAAATAACTTTTAAAAAATGGAAGACTGTTGGATATTCATATCTGCTTCTCCATTGTCTGTTGTTGTATCACATGTCCCAGACTTTCTGGAAAATTCCAGTTTACACTTATGAGAGCAAAAGAGCCAAATGATGTTTTGTTATTATCATTTTGCTATAGGGTATGTGTACTTGCCAGAGAGAAAGAGAAAGAGAGAGGGAAAGTGAGAAATCATCCCCCAGGTGGGATGGCCATGCTACAACCTCTTCTCCTCCATTCTTCCCTCGGGATTTCGGGCACGTACACATGCACCTGGCATGATTTTCAAGCTGCTGGGTCCAGGACTCAAATCATGGAGTCATCTAAGTGGGATCCAGTGTCTTAACCACCATGCCGCCGGTTGGTACAATCTTTTAGTATTATTATGAGAACAATTTTGACTTCACAGATTCCCCGAAAGGGTCTCAGGGAGCCCTGGGGAGTCCCTGGACCACACTTTGAGAACTACAGATGTTTCCAGGTGGCAATAAAAGTGGCACCCACGACAAGGTGGCACGCCACTTGCTTGAGAATCAAGCAGCGCAGGCCCAAGAACTGGGAGCCTGACTCAGTCTTCTCTTTCCTCAGGGCTGGGAAACCCAAGCTACATGATCAGAGGTTGTACGACTGCCTCCTGGTGCCAGAGCCTCCACGTGGCTGACGCCTTCAGCCTGACTCATCTCAACGTCTCCTGTTGTACCACAAGTGGCTGTAACAATCCCGTCCGGGATGCCCAGCACCGCAAAGGGGGTGCCCCCCGGCCCGGTCCTGCCCAACTCAGTCTCACCATCACCTTGCTTATGACTGCCAGAATGTGGGGAGGCACTCTCCTCTGGACCTGAACCCCAAAACCTTCACCCTGCCTGGGCTGGATCCAGGAGACCCCTTTACCCTTCCCTCTGCTCCCAGCCCTGCAGACGTGCTGTGTGACCTCAGGCCAGTGTGCCGTCCTGTTTGAGCCTCCGTATTCCTAGCTGTCGAAATGTCTGTCTCACAGAGGTGGCCTGAGAATCACTCGAGACAGGTGGCTGGCCAACAGGAGCGTTCTTATTATTAATATTGTTGCCGCTATTGTTATTATTAATATTTGTATTATTTATTTTATACATATATAAAGATTTTTGTACCAGTAGCAAGGCTAAGTCTGCCCTTCTCTGTAGCATCTATGTTGAAGGAGGATGAATGGGGGGGGCACCTTTTCACAGGTTCCTGGAATTAGAGGTCGCCTTATAGGAACCAGCATTGGAGGGCCCTGCCTTCGGAGCAGTCCCAGTGGGCTTCTGTCCTAAGCTACCGCCAGGTCTATTTCTGGCTTCCAAATGCAACCTTCCAACTCACTGAACTGGAACAATAACCTTCCCTTCTCTTCTAAACTGCAAAGATCAAGACTATTTGGTTTCTTTTTTTTTTTTTAAGAATTTTTAAAAAGAATTTTTGGGAACCAGCAGTTGGCGTAATGGCTATGTCGCTGGACTCCCATGTGGTCGACCGCGGTTCGTGTCCCAGACCCGGTGGCTTAAAACTCATGCCGGGCGCGTGTGCATGCGTGCCCAGGATCCCGGGAGGAGAATGGAGGAGAAGGGATTGTGGCGTGGCCATCCCCCCTGGGGGGTGAATTCTCGCTTTCTCTCTCTATGTCTCTCTCTGTCTGTCTGGCGAGCGCACGCGCCCTACAGTGAAAATCTCTCCAAAAAAAAAAAAAACTTTTAAAAAAAAAAAGAATTTTTAAAAAGAATTTTTAAAATTCCATTCATTATTATTATTATTTTTTAAATTTGATCAGAGAGAAAGGGAAAGCGAGAAAGCAAGCCACCAAATCGGGACTTGAACCACAGCACTCTTAACCACCACGCCACCTACTGGCCCCCCTTGGGAATTTCTTACCTAATTTGATCTATTATTTTTTTTTTTAGAGGTTTTTGCTATAGGGTGCGTGCACTCGCCAGAAAGACAGAGAGAGAGAGATAGAAAGCGAGAAATCACCCCCCAGGGGGGATGGCCACACCGCAATCCCTTCTCCTCCATTCTCCTCTCAGGATCTTGGGTACACACGCACACGCGCCTGGCGTGAGTTTAAGCCACCGGGTCCAGGACTCGAACCGTGGTCGACTATGTGAGAATCCAGCGACATAGCCATTATGCTAACTGCTGGTCCCCCAGTTTGATTTATTATTAGTTTTAACCAGAGAGAAACAGAGAGAGGGAAAGTGAGAAAGCAAGCCACTAGGTATGGGACTCGAACCACAGTTGGCCATGTGGGAGTCCAGCGCCTTAACCACCTTACCACCTGCCGGTCCATGACTACTTTGTTTCTAAGGAGACTTGCTCACATTTTTCAGGGGGCTCTGGGTCAGAGATGGATAGGAGATAACCTGATGGCCAGAACCCTCTTTAGGTACTGCAGTGGGCAAGATGCTCCAGAGTTCAAACAGGGTCAATTCACCTTTCCCATGATTCCCTACAACCGCCACTGAGGCTAGGGATCCATTTCCTATTCCTGCCTTGTGGTAGGAATTGAGGCCAGGACTGCATCTCCCATGAGACCCTAAGGCTGAGACCGGATGCTAGGATTACTTTTCCCATGGTGCCCTACAGTGGGGTAGGGGCTAGAAAGATATGTCCCTCAGTGTTCTGCAGTAGCTATTGAGGCTAGGGACAAGTTTCTCAGAATGTCCTACATCACAGCTTGTGACCAAGACCTCATTGTTAATGGCTCCCAAGTTTTTATTCAGGGATTTTGGGTTGCAAAAAATAAAATCTGCTTATGCTGACTTAAGCAAAAATGATGTTATTGGAAGTTTAGAATCCAAGCAAAAGCTAGGTCTCCAAGGGACAGGAAACGGAATTGAAAAGCTGTGTGAAATCAAAATAGTCTCTTTTGCAGAATTGCAATCATGCTACCTCTCTGTCCCTCTCTCCCTGTTTTCATCTGCCCTTTTGTCTCTCTCTCCGAATTTGTGGTTTTTCTTCTTGGCTTCCCCTTGGCAATAGGTGTCATTTTAGGGATAAGTAAGTGGCCAATGAGACACAATGAAAAATTTGCCAGCGAGTCTTAGAGGACACAGACTTTTTAAAAATTTTTTAAAAAATTACTTTATTTAACTTTACTTATTTCAATTTGACCAGAGAGGGACAGTGAGAGAGAGAGAGAGAGAGAGAGAGAAAGTGAGAAAGCAAACCACCAGGTATGGGACTTGAACTGTGGTTGACCATGTGGGAGTCCAGCGCCCCTAACCACTACGCCACCTGCCGGTCTTAGGACACAGACTTAAAGGTTTTAGCTTTAGACTAGGACGTGAAGTCCCCCAGTCTGCTGAGGTTCTTAGTCTCTTTCTTTTCTCCCTTTCTTCCCCTTTTAGACTCAGTTGGTCTAGCTGTCTGTTTATATGCTTTTTTCTCTCTGCTGCTCTTCCACAAATGTGAATCTGTGGAAATGGCCCCAGGGGCATTTGCCAGCTGCCTGCAACATGAGGGAAGCCATCCACCTTTCGGACAGAGAGCTGGGTAGACCACTCTGAAATCAGCTGGACCTGAGACTTCTTGTTGTACAACTGATTCTCTTTCTCTTAAGCCAGGTGAGTTGGAGTTGCTGTGGCTTGCATTAAAACCCTAATGACAGAGTGCCCCAGGATAGAGACGGGACCACTACTCTCGTGGTATCCTCAGCTAGGAAGAAAGGGTGGGACCCAAAGATGACATCTGAGAAGCAAGGCATCTCCCAGGGTGTCCCATAACTGAGGCAGGAGATACAGCTTTTGGGAAAAGACAATTATCTACCCCCTAAACCAGTACCCCAAATGTAGGTCGAGCACCTGTCTCCCATCTATTCCAAGTCACAGAGAGTAAACCCTGGAGGAGGATCAGGATCAGATGATCCCACCTGACCACCGCTCTCCCCAGTCTGCAGAAGCTGTTAAACCGAGAACTGAGGAGAGAAGTTGCTCAGAAATGTAGTCCTGGGGACACAGGGCTTGATCAGGGCTCACGTGCTAAGGACAGAGAGGATGCTGGGAGCTGGGCACTGAGGACAGAAAGAATGCTGGAGCTGACATCCCTTGGTGGGTCTGGAAGCAGAATTCGTGATGGGGATAAAGAGCGAAGATTTTCATCATTGCCATGTCTGGATCTCAGTTTACCTCATTGTCAAATGGGCCTGAAAGAGAGGGAGGTGTCCTGCTTTCCATGGTTTGTCACTCTTCCTGGGTCCGGTGGGTAATAATCCTGTCCCAGATCTGCAAGACCCACTCCCAGGAAAGAGAAGAGACCAAAGTCTGGAGAGGTGTATTGGCAACAACATGGAGGGAGGAATGGGAAGGGCAGAGGCAGGGACCACAGAAACGCAGGTAGGAAGGAGGACAGGAACTGGGACCCCAGGGCCTGGGAGGTGTCCCCAGGAGCCTCTCTCTCTCTGGAGCCGGGATTCAGGTTTCCCTTCCGTTGGTTCACTTTGCGGGGACCTTCCCTGGGAGTGACACTACACACGGGGCTTCCGGGTCAGGACAGGAGAGAGGGAGCCGGCCTCACCGCGCCGGCCTTGGCCTGGGAGATCCTAGACCTGCCTACACTTTGGGCTGCTGCCTTCCGGCTCGGCTCCGGGTGGCCCAGCTCCAGACTCGCATAGACTAGGCACCTTGGCCTTCGCGCTCACCTGTCCACAGGGCACCTCTCACGCGTCCCCGTCCCATCACACTCGCCCCGCTCCGTCAGGCTCGCACCCTCGCGCACATCCTCACGCGACGCTCTCCCGCCGCACACGCACCTCTCGCACAGCACACTCACACTCACACTCACACGCGAGCACTCTGGACGTTCTTACCCGCGCACTCAACACCTCGGCCCTCCCACCACCC